TTTGTGTGGTCGCGATTCGCAATTGTGAAAATGTTTGGTTGATATTATGTACAGTGTGTTGAGAAGACGAGGAGCACTGGTGAGTCTTGGATGAAGCTGTCCTGAAAAGTGAAACAGAAGGCTTTCCGTTTGCTGCTCAGCACCACGCACTTCCCACCGAAACTGTCAATATATGAGTTTGAATCAAAATTTAAATATGTACACTATGCATTGAATTTAATGAGACTGCACAACACCTAGTCAGTGGAAGCCCAGCATTGGCTCAAATGCTCTATCTTCCGCGACATGATGGCGTGGCACGACCCTTTGCTACCGCAGCGGTAGGGTGGTTAAAGCGTTCGCTCGTCACTCCGAAAAGCCGGGCTCGATTCCTAACATGGGTACAATGTGTGAAACCCATTTCTGGTGTCCCCCGCCGTGATATTGCTGGAATATTGCCTAAAACGGCGTAAAAATAAAACTCACTTACTTTTACTACCGCCCTTGCCATACGATCCAGAACATGAAGAGGGCGTCATGGAAAATGACAGTTACAACGTTCTTTGGAGTAACCTCACAGCCTCAGCCTCGTAGCCAACAAACCTGACTTTGACGTTGTTGGATTAAACTCACGAAATTTGAATTGGGTGTTCAAACTAACACTGCTGATTTGCCCGTGCCTTTTGCATTGAACACCTGGTGTCATCACTGATCATTCAATGATCAATATTTTTCACTACGATATTGTCTTGTACGCCCAATGGAAGCTCCTTCAACAAGTAATCGGGGCTAATGACTGGTTGTGTCTGTTTGTATTTAGTCTGTTATCCAACAATGCGGCGCTTACCTTTCGAAAGAGATTGGGGCACGAGTGGCTGTTTCGGCTGAGGCGCCGCAATTAATCAATCAATCATTCTTTCCAATCACATCCAATTGATGTGCAAAGTTGCGCCCCTTGGGCACCACAGGCACCGATAATCGAGGGTTCGAATCCCGGTTCACCGAGATATGTTTCTAGGTTTGTCTGCACCCGTACGTGTTGGTTTCACGAAAGTGATAAAACATCCTGACTCAGCATATGTTCATGACGGGTGACATCGTTTGGGCAGGATACGCTCACCTTTTCGCGAACACCTGGTATCACCACTATTTCATAGTGATTCATAACCACATGCTCTGTCATCGTATCGCATGGTGACCATCACTGGATTGTCTGCTCCAGACTCGATTTGTTTACAAACAACATCATACAACTGTAATACTGCTGAAACAAATATCTGCCCATGATATTGTCACAATTGTACAATCGACTCTGCTTTCAGCAGAAATTTCTTTTACATGTGGAAAAAGTTTTGTCGTGTCTATTTACTCCAGGCTTTCCTCCCACATTTAACAGAACAGAAATAATGTCCAAAGTGCCTTTAAACCCACCTAACTCACTAACTCTAAAAGGTAGGGCTGCGCAATATACCCGGTTTACCGGTATTTACCGGTTCAGACATGAAAACGATACGTATTGCGATACGCTGATTAAAAATCGGTATTTTGACATGCATTCGGAAAACTTCGTAACACTCGGAAATCTTCGGATATTTCCTTGTTTCATTTGCGCCAAATATTATTTACATTTTTATTTTGTCATTATTAAAAGTTTTTATTAAAGCATAGTGATTTTGTTGTGTTTTGATTATAAATCAAGCATTAACTCGATTATAAGTAGTTTTTAGTTAACAAAAACTTCTTGCAATATATTGCAATACATATCGCAATATATGACGCATCGCAATATATCGCAATATCAAAATTCTCTGCAATACCCACCCCTACTAAAAGGCAATGTTTTTATGAATGGACATCAATAATAATTCGCATTTTCTAGGTACAAGCGTAAAGACTGGTGTGCATACTGCTTAAATCATCCATATTTTAGCAGAATCCTTTACAAAACCTTCAACACAACATCCTAAGCACAAAAAACTGTAAACAAAGATCACTCAAAAATCCAAGACAAGCGACGGAGCATCAGCTAGTAGGCGTGGCCTAATATTTTATGGTTTATTAAAACATAAACGAAAAATGTCTGGCTATCGATTACCATGGAAACCTTTGCAATCGATTAACTCACTTATGACATTGCCAAATGACACGCAATAATGTGTGAATATTTCACGATATTGCTCGCCTATGGTCGTGTATGTACTTTGATTGTGAAATAAAGGTATCGATAAACAACCCTCGTTCTGGGCTCACACAGTCTAACAAACAAGGTTCAAGGATTCCCGCCACTAACCCAGAAGCTGCCCCAGAAAACACAACACTACATTCTAAATGTCAGAACAGTATATCTGAAGGCCATTTTTCATCAATCCAGTGCCCTCTGGTGAGGGAAGGCATAATAAGGTGACCTTTTGTCTTAATGATCACGTGTTTTCACCATCCATCATTTTCTTAAAGTACAAAAAATAATCATTTTTTTGTAAATCGGTGGAAAGAATTTAGCTACTTCCTCACATTTGACAGATTAGTTGAAGAGCTTCAGATGATATTTTAGCTGATTTGGTCTTATTGTTCTTTAACATCGCAGCAAGCAACACAACGAGCAATGTAAGTAACCTTCGTTTATAGCGAACTCGTTTATAACGAACTGACGGACTAACTACTCTTGTTTGGGGTGTTTTGTCATGGCCGCCAGCTGTACATTTTAGTTGAAAAGGGTGTAACGAGCAACGGTTATAACGAATTTATGTTATAAAGAACAACCATTATAACGAACAACCGTTATAACGAATATATGTTATAAAGAACAACGGTTATAACGAACAACCGTTATAACGAATATATGTTATAATGAACAACCGTTATAACGAATATGTGTTATAACGAACAATTATAAAGAATGTATGTTATAATGAACAATTATAACGAATATATATGTTATAATGAACAACGGCTATAAGGAAATATTTTATAACGAACAAAGGTTATAACGAATATATGTTATAGCGAACAACGGTTATAACGAGTATGTTACGGTGCACAAAGGTTAAAAATGTGTGTTATAACGAACAACGGTTATAATGAATATCTGTTATAACGTACAACGGTTATAACGAGTTCGCTATAACCGTATTTTACTGTATATGGTTATATATAACTGACACTGTTTGCTGGGATCCTACTCGAAACCGGAATCCCAAAGCGGTTAAGGCGGTGGGGTAGCCTAGCGGTTAAAGCGCTCGCTCGTCTCGCCGAAAACACGGGTTCGATTCCCTACATGGATACAATGTGTGAAGCCCATTTCTAGTGTCCCCCGCCGTGATATTGCGGGAGTATTGCAAAACCATATTCAATACTCACTCGTTTACTGGGACCCATCTCCAAACCGGAATCCCAAAGCGTTTCGACTTTCGTCATGTGAAGGAATATATTAGGTGCAACGTCCTATTGTCGAACTCATGTTTTCAAAGGCAAAGTATACTGACGTAATAAAGAAAGTGTGCTTCAGCATTATTATTTTTTAAAATCAACATAATTATATTGAAAAAATATTTTGAAAAGTGTTGCGACTTACAAGTTGCCAAAACACCACAAACATCGTACCCAAATGTAACGTTGCCAGCGCCACACGTCCACGTTCCTGGCTGAACGTAGACGACGGGTTTATGACATGCCCCGAAATGATCGATAGGTTCGGATACCCACAACCCTCAGTCGTCTCATTGCTGAAGGGGGCGGTGGTGTGGCCTAGTGGTTAAAGCGTTCGTTCGTCACGCCGAAGACCCGGGTTCGATTCGCCAGATGGGTACAATGTGTGAAGCCCATTTCTTATGTCCACCGCCGTGATATTGCTCGATTTTTGCTTAAAGCGGTGTAAAACCACCCTCACTCACTCATCACCGTGTTCCTGCAATATTGTTCGATGATGAATAATCCATATTTGAGGTGAAATTAATGTCGTGCTTGAGAAGATTTCGCTCATATGACGACGTGCATTCGTGTGTATGTGTATGTGCGGCTGCTTGCACTAGCCCAGACTGAAGCTGATGTATATAGTGCTAGCCCACAGAGATACCATGCCGCAGTGAAGCATGAATACCCCACTCAGACACATTATACTGACTCCGGGCCGACCAGTCCTTGCTGTACCCATTAATGCCGAGCGCCAGGCAGGGGCCCAACAAGTACCATATTTTAACGTCTTTTTGGTATGACGCGGTCGGGGATCGAGCCCGCGACCTTCCGCTCTCCGTGCGGACGCTCTAACCACTACACCACGGAGGCGGTCAATCCATAAATGGGTTTTATTTCACGCATTTGTAACTTGCGGGTTTGAATCAAAGAAGAGGTAGAGTGTAGGCGTGAATCAGTGTTTAGGTAGACTGGGAACGAATCCAAGTAAAGATAAATGTGTTCGAATTCATGTATATGTTATTGTGTATTCGAATATGCGTACATGTAAATTCCACATTCCATTCAACGTGGAAGTTGACATTGACGTAGACTGAAAGCGACAATCCATCCAAATTTCATTGACGTATTGGTGGACTGTGGGTTCGAATCCATTCTTAGAAAGATTGTGTGTTCGAATCGGTGTATAAGCAGAATGCGTGTTCGAATCTGGTTCAGGTAGACCATAGGACCGAATCCATATAAACTGTGGGATCGACTCCACGAACTGGTAGAATGTAGAATCAATATGATATTCACAACCCAAAATCGATATGATACTCACAACCCAAAATCGATAGGATATTCACAACCCAAAATCGATATGATATTCACAACCCAAAATCGATATGATACTCACAACCCAAAATCGATGATATTCACAACCCAAAATTGATATGATACTCACAACCCAAAATCGATATGATACTCACAACCAAAAATCGATATGATACTGACAACCAAAAATCGATATGATACTGACAACCAAAAATCGATATGATACTGACAACCAAAAATCGATCGATGATACCCACAACCAAAAATCGATATGATACCCACGACCAAAAATCATGTATATTTCGAGTGAGGTTTATTGGCACATAATCAATAACTCTTACAAAAATATGAAACATCTGAAGACACGCCATTTGACAGTATTGAAAGGGTTGCGGGAATGTCAAGTACACGGCAAGGTAATACAGTTGACACAATTACACCTCGTATGCAAGGGATGTCGGGGTAATTACACTCCATACAGCTAACCAATCACATGTACATTTCATTAACGTGTCAATTTCTAAAGTGCAGTGACTTTGACACTAATACGTCAACGAAACCAGTCAGACATTACCATCTAAAGCGATTCGTGAGATATTTTATAGTCAATATCTGAAATAAATACCATCCACACTATTCATTCAATCCTTATATCAAACTAGAGTTTCTTTGTTAAAGTATTTTTTACAGTTAGGTTGATATTTTGGACGGAGGGTTGAGTTGCTATTGGGATGATTGACAGGGGTTATCAGTTTCATTTAACCCAGTGGAGGATCGAAATGAAATTTCATTAAAATAAAATGTAGTTGAAAAGTATCAAATGAGAAATTTTTAATCATTTTTAAAGAAATTATTAACGAGTTGAGCCTTATCCGATGTGTCATGAAGTACATCCAAATAATATTTGGTACATATTTCAATGACACAGTATAGTTTGCCAAACACAAGAAAAAACATTTTCGATTGTAACAAACAAATCAATTTAAAATCCTGAAATTTTCAAATGCATCTAAATGCAGAGGTATATATTTGAAAAATATTTCGAAGTTAACTTCCAACATTATGATATTATAAATTATAGTAATAATAGTAATACGACGTGCATCACTTGCATTGATAATGCATTGCGGTAAGCTATATATAGAGAAACGGGTCGTATCCCAACGTTTAATGTACACGTGATGATAATTTAGGGATGAAATATAATCTCACCATTATTCAGAGAACAATCAAACAGAACAATAAAGATTGAAATGTAAATATTGAAAGATGTGGAAAAAACATAAATAGCCCGTTGACGCAATATCTATCAGTGTATGCATAGACATTGTGAAACTAGACGGGTGTTTTCTCAAACAAGCTTTCATTCTTAAGGAACGTCTCAAAAGGTCATATAAGCGAAATAACAAAGAGATGGATTAGAAATAACACACAATTTCAAAACTGTGTGAATAACAAATAATATTATACCTGTAAATTTAGAATTGGTATGAAACGAAACAAATATATCCTTACACCTTTTGAGATGTCCCCCAAAGTGGTGACCAGCACAACATATATTCAAGGGATCATATTATTTGTGTATCGTTGAAAGTGGAGTTCACACAACTTTTGTGATAACTCCCGAGAGTTCACAATCTGATCAAGAGATCATAAACCAATGTTGAATCATCGAGGAAGGTAAATGGTCCCACCGTAGTGTTTTTAGTAGGTCCATGAAGGGAAAAACCCCACAATAATAAATAACAGTATTTTCAAAATAGATATGTTGAAACAGAATTGCACATTTGTCCTTGAACACAATATTAGGGATAATGTCAAGGTCATCTCATGACCTTTTGACCCGGATATCAGTTCCAATGACCTCATGACGTAGACACGACGGGACTGGAGAGAAACTGAAACGAGGGCTGCACATGCGTCATGTCCACATCCGGTGACGCGCTGTTAACATCACAACCATCAAAGGTGAACGCATGATCCGGTGACGTCAGCATACTGTGTGTATAAAGTCTACAAGGTGAAAGCGATGGTGGCGTGGGCGTCTTCGGGGTCTTATGATTGCTTATCTCCTTTTCAAACAATGTCAACTGCATCATAAAACTAGCGTTGGGGGAAATGACGTCACGGCGAGATTTCACGTAATCGAAGGCGTCATCTAGTCCCAGAGACCGAGCATACATTAAATACGCCAGGCAGATTGTGGCTGATCGACTCACTCCACCTTTGCAATGGACAAGAACTCGACCTCCAGAAAGACGGATATTTTCTGAAAGAAAACATACGAACGTAAGTAACGAAACCGTAAACCAATATTCCAGAACAAAAGTACGCCATAAAACAGAAATATCTAATTATAGAACTATTTAAATCAGTCGCCGCCATTTTGAAATTTAATTGGGAATGGTTATAGAGCACTTGCAAGCAAATGGTAGGTATTAATGTGAATCCGATAGTGTAAAATAAAATTCGAGTAGGCACTATCTATCAGAACACACTCAAGCCTATAGATGCCATCTTGGCTTTGGTTGAAAAGTATCGAAATTAAATGAGAACAAGCTATAAAATATATCATTTATCTGATGAGAAGGTAGTTTTTGTGAGAATATACAACTGAACTATGTCACCGGTACAAGATAAGCCGGCACTACCAGTATACACGCGGCAAATAGGCTTGGCGTATGAATAAATCATGGCGTTGTTATGCCTGGAAAAGAAGTACATTAGCTACGAAGACTATCAAATGACGACATCCACCTACCTATAAAATTAATGGCGTCTGTAAACCACGTGAGAAGATCCGCGGTCACTGTATCTTGTACTGGGATGACCTTGTACCGGAAGTCCTCAGGAAAATGATTTTCACAGGAAGTGGAAACATTCAAAATGGCGGTGATTCCAACTTCTTTGAGAAGTTGTCGTTGGGATGAGTGACTTGCATCTCCGATATACAGATACGGGAGTAGCTCAACTGGAGAACCCTAAAATAGAAACAGGCGGGGTTAAAACTACAAATCAATCAATAAATACGTTCGATTAAGTGTGACGTAATTTCCTGTGAACATGGAGATTTGGATTAACCTCTTTAGGGACGTTCATAATTTATGGCTAGGAGGTGTGATGATGATTTTTATTGAGTACAATGTGACTGACACCCCTATTTTGATGTACAAAGTAAGCGCCCCCACCCCCATCATGTCATGTACAAAATCAATGACGATCCACCTTGTAATGTACAAAATTGATGACAACCCCACCTCTCAAGAACAAAATAGGTTACCCCACTTTGAATCACAACCCAGCCATAAATCAGGAACTGTCCCATTACAAATAATACAATATCATGTTTATTTGGTGTTCGTCCTTCATATCATTTACCAGACTGATTTTTTAACCATTATGATTATTTATTTACTTCGTCTTCAATGATGTCAACACATTGAAAATGTCACCATGATAAGAGTACAATCACAAACAGTCCCTGCTCCCCATTCTAAATTACATAATGACAAATAATGACAGTTTACTTGTTGCTTATCTGCCTGCTGTTTCCTCGAGTCTACGTCAAAGGTCCTATCCTTGCCAGCACCCCCGTACAATCGTCACAAGCACCATTACCGAGCCAACTCATATTTCAATATTCAATAACAACTGACAATAATCCTTTGTGGCAATGGGTTTACTCAGATCAACGAGTTGTGTATAATCCGTTCAATATCAGGTATCTGTGCTAGTACAAGTTGATAAGGCCAAAAACGGAAACGGCATCACTCAAATTCATCCTGCCGCTCCCATTCGCTCCTACCAAGGATTCTAACCTACATCGATCTGAGTGTGTGTGTGCGTAATGACGACAGTCGTGATTCGTACATTTTCTCCCAACACCTTCACATCTATGGTCTTATTTCCGAGTTTTCTTGGTGCAAAATCCGTTTAATCCGTAAGCTAAGAATAATACTTTTCACTCTTTTCGTGAGAAGATCTGAGAATCAACATGGCGCCCTACCCTGCCCCATTTCAAGATTCCTGTCAAAGACCTCTTGTGATTTGAGACTTATCCCAACATAGGTGCCACTATCGATTTGGTTTTAAAGAATTAAGTTTTCACCTAAATTCGAATTATTGATCCACGTGGGCGGTCTACACAAATTGGTACTCAGCTGAACACGTCAGACGCGAGCACCGTAGCTTAGACGTGACAGAGAAAAACAGTAGCTATTAAAACACCTCATACGATATGGCTTACATGTAAGTCGCTGTTTTATCGATTTATGTAATCTGATTGACATGGGTGCGTGTGTGTACTTTTAAGTTATATAACATAAATGTGATGGATGAGATAATTATTACAAAAGAATTATCTAATGGATTTCTTTTGAAAACACGCTATTTCTGTCAAAGTAAATCATTGTTAGGTTGTACATTATAATTAAAATTTCTCAATCGGTAATTTTAGTATAAAACAGTAGAGAAGAGCTCGTCTACATTATCTGACGAAACAGGTGATCACAATTATACGTGATCACATCAAATATGACACCCAGTGTTCGCGACAAGGAAGAAAACAGGTAATACACGCCAAGGGGTTTAATATTTCCCTCGGACATCGAAAAAAGGGTTTAATGTGAATTATATGATTATATATCACAAATATTAATGATTATTATGAATGTTCGTGACTGGGAGGCACGCATATCAGAATGAGTGAGTATGGTTTTTTGCAATATTCCTGCAATATCACGGCGGGGGACATAGGAAATGGGCTTCACACATTGTGCCCATGTGGGGAATCGAACCCGGGTCTTCGGCTTAACGAGCGAACGCTTTAACCACTAGGCTACCCACCCATATCGGAACCATCCTGGGCCTCATAAGACAAAAACCCTTGGTACGTTCACAAAGGGAGCTATTGACATGCCGATGATGAAACAGTGTACTAACAGTGGTGAATCAGCCAGCTGACAGCTCGGTGAAATGTGCATGAAATACACACCCTAATGACGACTGACCGCTGTGCCTACACAATAAAGCGATCAAATCATAATTTACTGACAATCAATCAATCTTGGATTTTGTACTGGACACTCACCATACTGGATAACTCTGTCCGGGGGGAGCGGTCGAAGCGCCCGGGGGGTAACGGAAGGACTTGCTGGGGGTTAAGCAAGTTCCGGTCCTTGAACAACGAACTGTGGGAAACACATAGCCTTGGGCATTCTCGCTTGAAGCGCAAAAATCCGCCTGAAACGAAATCATATCTGTTTATCCAAATGCCTGCTTATATATTACTCGACATTGCGAGTTTATCTTCCCAATAACATATGGTTAGATGATCGATATTTTGAACAATCGACACGGAAAATAGATAAGAGATGAATATCTACTTACTAGTATGTTATAACATGTTGTATCACATGAAAAACACTCGAATATTGTAGATAACATTCAATAAAGACATTTCAATAGAAATGCGGCAACACATGACTTGATTGTTTCAATTAAATCAACATAACTTGTTAATGGACAAGACACGTGTGACTGTACAAGTGAGTATTGTTTTACGCCGCGTTTAGCATATTCCAGCAACATCAGATTGATGGGTTTGAATAAAATGACAAATGCACAAATTACTTAAGCCGCTTTTAGCAATATTCCAGCATTGTGACATTGTACATGTGGATTCGCCTCACGGCCTTATAAAATTTGATTTAAAAATATGTAAAAAGTAATAAAAGTACATCAAACCTACACTACTACTTAAACATAACAGACAGATTTTTAAAGTTGGGCACAAATGTATTCAGTCATAAAGGCTAGTCATTTGAGGTGAGGTGAGGTGAAATTGGGTTTTACGTCGTACTTGAGAATATTTCGCTCATATGACGACGTGCATGCGTGTGTATGTGTATGTGCGGCTGCTTGTACTAGCCCAGACTGAAGCTGGTTTTATAGTGCTAGCCCACTGAGATACCATGCCGCAGTGAAGCATGAATACCCCACTCAGACACATTATACTGACTCCGAGCCGACCAGTCCTTGTTGTACCCATTAATGCCGAGCGCCAGGCAGGGACCAACAAGTACCATCAAGTAACGTCTTTTGGTATGACGCGGTCGGGGATCGAACCCACGACCTTCCGCTCTCCGGGCGGCTAGTCATTTGAAGAACAATAACATGATTGTACCCTAGAGAAAGAAGTTAAATCATTTTCGTAATAGATACCATTCTATGCCCAGGAAACGCAATTTCTGATATTGGAACCTAATGCACGTGTACCAGATCTGTGCCAGGAGTCATCAGCAGATTTACCGTTAGGAACAACAGCACGGTAAAATCCTGCTCATGTTTCCTGCGTTAAGGCTAGTCGGATTTAACACTTAAATAAGACATACACTTTGATGTGACACGTAAGACAAGGCTATTGTATCAGTAGTTTATATGTTTGATCTGTTAAGTCCCCAGTAAGTCGATCTTTAGCCACGGTCACATGTTGAAACTCTCGCATCCGTTCCACGATGTTTCACAAGCAAACAATGGACTCGCTTCTAAAATGTGTTATTTGATACCTGTGAAAACGTCCCCATCTGCAGCTTACCGTGGAGCTTCCTTTCGTTTATTTACCGATTGCCGTTTTGACAAGATTTTCCATGTTTGGTTAAATGCTGGAAGAGGTATGTCCCCGGTCAAGATTGAACCTGCCAGCACTATTAAGTGCAGAGTATATATGATTTAGTGGTTTTGTTGTTCAATTGGAATACGAAATCGTTAACTTTTCACAATCTACAAAAGGAGGTCGCGTGTTGTTGGGACTGCATAATTTAGTCGTAAATGTAGTGGCATTATCGTATTGTGGCATTAATCTTTGCCCATCTAATTTTTCTTTCTTTCCTGAATGTTTTACATACACGTCGTCGAAAATCTAGTTAAATAAGATAACACGTGTGTAAAAGTTGCATCGTGACAGTATGTGTTTGTTAAAAAAATGACTTTCGAAAGCCATTACTGGATTTCTGCACTGATTTAGGTTGTCTCCTATGGTGTATTTCATCATCGTTTGAATCAATGTATGAACTCGGCCCTCACAAATGCATAATTGAAAATTTACGTTGTCTAGTTAGAATCTTGACGCAGAAAGTTACAAATTCATCCAAATTCTGTCAATTTCCTTCCGTTGCCTCAAAGAACTGTTATTTTGCTGTGTGCGACGAGCACAGTGTCAAAGACCTTTCAAACGACCTTGGATTTGTTCGTGATCAGGCTCGTGACAAATTTAGCATCCATGCTAATTCCATGGAGAAAAACACAAAAACGTTTCAAAACTGATAATATACCAAACTAAACGCTAAAACTACAAAATCAAACTGTTCAATAAGATAAAACAGCTTATCGATCAGTTTTCATCTGAAACCGATCAAAGTAGAATTTCGAATATTATTTGCTTGTTCCGTCATTATTTAACTTATTTTGTTACACAACGCTGTCCCATCGATCTAGATATTGGATTTATTTACTTAAGCCCAAGCCAGTGTAAACTATCATCATTCGACATAAATTATGACAATAGAGGGATGACATACTGTGCTATTTTTACCGCGGTTGTATTTACAGAAGTGGAGACAGTGAATTCACTCGTGATCTTAATGTAGTTGAAAAGGCCTTGATATTTACAACGTTCAACTCAACATCTTTCACTTTCTATTGCACTGCCAATCCCTACAACTTTCTGTTTGTGTTTTTTTCCGAAACGAAGTCCATGCTAAGCGTTATCATTTTAAAGTGATTTCTTTCACATATGCATATATTACGTTTACATAAGTGATTCATAAGTAGTTATTAATGTCAACACATATTTTACGTAAAAAACTCAAAATATCTTTTTGTACGAAAAAATAAAGAGATTTACAAGATGCTAACTTTTAAATGATGTGGATGTTCCACATATTATACTTACCAGAGAGAATGAAAAAGTTCTTTTTGCCAACAAGGCGCACAAGGCTCTTGATGGTTAGAAGTAACTCCGCTTTGGCACTGTCACTGGAGAATTCATCTGTATCCAAATCGTGCAGTATAATTGCTTCAAGATTTGGCCGTAGTAGACTTTTGTGTCTCTTTAGACACGACTGTTTCCAATGGAAGACACGACGGGTACCGTTTCCTAAGGAGCGGTGGACAGTACACGTTGATAGACGTCAAGATTCTGTCAGTGTTGTAGTGCATGAAAGACCGGCAATCCACAATCTGCAGTGCGTTGTGTTTTTCTTCCAGCATTTGCTGAAGTCGACATGGAGAGATAAAGAGGGGAGTCGCCATAGCTAGTATTCTTCCAGCTTCGATGAATGGTCTGTGGTGAATTCACGAGCCAACACAGCTATATTGATTCTCGTCCCAGCTCGATCAATACGAGTGCACGGTGTCTTCCATTCACAAGCTTCGGCGCAACCTCACCCGGTCACTTCCGGTACTTGCTGTGCGAGGCAGCCAATCAGCGTCGAGCTGGTAACCAGTGAATGGGGGGTAATTTCCCAGCGTGAAGCTAGCCGCTCGCCGGAGGTAATACAATACTACATTACGCTTTCATTATTCTCGCATTCAATGAAACACGGAAGGGAATTTATCAAGCCGGAGTTTGTCGCGAGGCTGGCAGATGTGGAGCTGGGAGGTCGCGCGCTACACCTGAAATCACAACCCGTTCTGACTTCATAAGGGGACTGGTGTCCATTTCAACAAGCGAGCGGTTTCGTCCACCGGAAACGACCGATGTCAATGTCATGTTGTCAATGACAGGAAACACGGGTCGCGATTAAATTAGGAAACTGCATCCGCTGGTCCCTCTGTTGACCGACATGTCGAAATGCACGTTCAACACACGTTGCATAAGTCATTGTCTCGCTGAAATCGGCATCCGGTGTACACGCTAATTGACACCCAAACAATGAAATAGACATCAGCATGTGCGAGATAAACACTGATGTACAAACGACTAGCATGTTATTCACAACTTTTACATATTCGAGTATGCGTCATAATACGAAATCCAATGCACCGTGGTTGAAATGCAACACGAAACGTTACAAATATCTTCATAATTGACACAAGTATTTACGATAAGTTTTGAACACAATGGCTCACGATGAATAACACTGGATAGAAAGTACACATACATGAAAATATTCCCGTAAATGTAATAAAATGGAAACGGGTTAATTTGCAGGTTGACATGTACACGATCCAGCGACATTCCTAGCGTTGTTACCAATACAGGTTGCAGCAACTAACATGTATATTTCATTTGAGAGGAATTTTCCCTCTTGTACGACATTCTAGCCTTGCTCCAAGTCTGTACTAAGCACATGGATGTATAGTAATTCTATCCTTTAAAGAATCAAGTCTGAATAAGCGGACAGTACATCTGAGGACCCCAGCCTGTTATTTATATATTCTTTTAGAAATTATCATTTAAACCAGTATTTATAACCTGAGAGATTTATGCAAGTTCAAACATCTGTGCCATTTGGCGTAGGTGCATCTCGCTAGCATTTCAAGCAGAAACATTCCTCTATACCTAATGTAACAACTAAACACATACCAGACCATACACTATGTCAACCCAGGCCTATACGAAAACTTAACATTAAACCGCATGAACTCGAAATAAAACATTTAAAATTTACATTTCCAAACAATTTGCATTAATTCCTAACGAATGGTCGAAACAGGATACGCGGTTGTGATCAATAATTCACAGAACACACGCTTGGTGAACCGTGTATGAATTATTTCATATCAATGTCGTTACACACATTGTGGATGAGCGTACACTATAACTGCCCGATAGGCGGCTGCATCGGCATCTGAACAGAATTTATCGAGATTTGTATAACTACGGCGGATGTTTATATCAATTATGGAAAGTTCTATTGTCTGATACTCTGAGATACATGACCAAATGTAATGTAAATGGTAGCATCTGTTGAAAGCAGCTGATCCAGTTACCTTATTCATGTATCTTCATATCCGCTACACTCCACAACGTTATGTCAATAGACATTTTTCAAAATGGTTAAATACTGATACTTATTTATATGCTAATCAGCTTTGTATGTGTTACAAATACTGTAAATGATTTACAAAAACGTCACTTTACTGAATATTTTAGTTTCAGTGTTATTGATTCTGCTACAGACGTTAATGAACAAACGAGGCTGTGGGTTAGCGTAGTGGTAAAACGTTCGCTCGTCACGACGAAGACCCGGATTCGATTCCCCACATGGGTACAATGTGCGAAGCCCATTTCAGCTATCATCGCCGTCATATTGCTGGAACATTGCTAAAAGCGGTGCAGAACGCTCGCGCTCGCGCTCCATATTTAGCCCCACCATGGGATGTATATATCTACAAACACAATACATGGGATATTTAGCCCCAGAAAATCTACAAACACAATCTTATTTTACAATACATGGGATGTATATATCTACAAACACAATATATAACTATAATCCTAAAGGATCTCAGAAAATTATTAATTTCAATGTATTGATGGTCTCGCCTAACCATTCTAGGTTTGAGTTGTAGTCCTTTAATATATTCCAGATGGTAGTGTTATATTACCACTGCTTGAGTACTGTCGATTTCAGTATCGCCTTGTTTATAGCGGGTCGTTTAATTTACGTGTGCTTGAGTCTTCCAACTGACGTACTTGTCGATTTCAGTGTCACCTTGTGTATAGCAGGTCGTGCCTTGACATATGCTGGAATCCTTCAAGAGAAGTAATGGCGATTTAATATTGTATTGTATATGACTCGTCGTCAATGACTGATCGCGCGCATGTGTTCTTTATCATACTGTGACGCTTTGGATTATACACAAAACGTACGTATATAGTATACAGTCATTCGTGAAGGGCATGTTCATTGCAATGTCAGTCACCCTTGTCTGTATCTGACCCGTGAAGATCCGGGTTAGAAGTGATCTTCAGTAACTCATGCTTGTCGTAAGAGGCGACTAACGAGATCGGGTGGTCGGGCTCGCTGATTTGGTTGACACATGTCATCGTAACCCAATTGCGTAGATCGATGCTCTTGATCACTTGATAGTCTGGTCCTGACTCAATTATTTACAGACCGCCGCCATATAGCTGGAATATTGCTGAGTGCGGCGTTAAAAACTAAACTCACGCACTCACTCCCACTTGTGTATATCTGAACGCTGCATTAGTTACCTGTAATTAAGAAGTAGTTAATTTCAGAGTCGCAGCCAGTAAATAGGCTTTAGTTGCCTGACAAGTAATGCTAGATTGAGTATAGATTTCAGTGCCGACTATTTGTTTAGTTCTAAGTCACTCATCAGCAGAGCAGCTGATTGTCGAAACACCCATGCACATAGCCCGTCAGTCACTGGCTAAAATGTAATCAACACGTTCTCTTAACCCGATTTAGAGATTTACCTTGCTATTTTCATGTACTAATTAGATATAGTCGACTGTGTATTCGCACGAAGGCCTTTAGTGATGAACGATGAAGCGTAATTATCTACAGTAGGTATGGCGGGTTGGGGAAGCTGTTTCTGACAGTCCAAGGCGGTTCGACGTTGTTGTCGTAGTAGCTGAAGTTGACAACTGCGTGTTGTTGCAGCAGCGACAGCAGCAGTAGCAGTTACTAGTAGTTTGTTTCACACCGTACTCGGAAGTATTTCAGCTATGCGACGGCGCTCTAAATAATGGCGCCCGGACTAGACAATCCAGTGATTGCCGACACGCTTACGACAAGCATGGGTCTTCATGAGTCGTAGTCGTCCTCTGTCTCAGTCCCTGAACCACTTTATTTTCCCTTCCGCCTAGTCAGGTTTCAAGGTCGCTGAACCACTTTATTTTCCCTTCCGCCTAGTCAGGTTTCACGGTCCCTGAACCACTTTATTTTTTCCACTTTATTTTCCCTTCTGCCTAGTCAGGTTTCACGGTCCCTGAACCACTTTATTTTCCCTTCTGCCTAGTCAGGTTTCACAGTCCCTGAACCACTTTATTTTCCCTTCCGCCTAGTCAGGTTTCACGGTCCCTGAACCTTTTTATTTTCTCTTTCGTCTAGTCTGCTTCACGGCCCCTGAACCACTTTATTTTTCCTTCTGCCTAGTAGTCAGGTTTCACGGTCCCTGAACCACTTTATTTTCCCTTCCGTCTAGTCTGTTTCACGGTCCCTGGACCACTTTATTTTCCCTTCCGCCCAGCCATTCCTGTAATGCTAAAGCCCTAAAAAGCACGTTGGGACTCCTCAGGTTCTGAATTTCCCATCTCACTATATATATATACATATATTCAGAGACTAAGTGTTGGTCCATAGTGGTCATATAACAACATGAAGATAGATGTGAAATATTATAGTAATCTGTAATGCAGGTTCACTTGCACCCGAGATGTACTCATGAAGATTATTCTCAGAAACAGCTTGGAGGGGAAGGAGAGGGGGTGTATTCATTGCAGGCGCGATTTTCATTTATCACGCTATATATCACGAATTCAAATTTGTCCATGTTATATTCATTATTCTAAGATAACAACCTGTTTATGATTTATTCATTACCCACGCATGATTTAATACGATAAGCACCAACCCACAGACTCGGGGTTGGGGGAGAACAGCTGGCGACTTTTTGCCAACGAAATATCGTCGTTGGATCATGTGATGCTATTATGCACTGCATGAACTCACGTGCTGCCCGTGCATACCATGCAAATGTGATATCTGGATAAGGTTGGAATGCAACAGAGACTAATGTGCTGTCTATGGCCATGGATGTCTTCACGTAAACATGCATTCTTTGTTTTAATGCTTGAATATATACATCGAACTTGTTGACTTGCCTTTTTAGCAAGTAGACTGGGTTTGATAAAATTAACTGACTATGTTTCACAGTCGGTGAACATAACAAAGTACTCGCAGAATTTTTTTAAAATCCCAATTCACGCGTGTTTTAAGCAAGAAAGAATTTGCTTTCCATAATAATTTTGTTTTAAAATTAAAAGCTTAATTACCAATGCTGTGGAAAAACATATGAACAGCAAGTAATCCCTTTCATTTTCACGATATGCGTTCGTTAAATTAATATCAATAAATAAATTATCAGCCACCAACACGCCTCCCCCCGCCGCCTTCTCCCCTCCATTCCCATATACTCTTTCCCCCTCTCCTGTCTTTCTCTCCCTATTTCCACACTTTCACTTCTATTACTTATCCTATATTTGCCCTAATTTTTCAATATTGTATGTAAAGCAAATGCTGTACATTTCCGAGGATGTTACGTTCACATCCGTGGATAATATCTGCTTCTCAATGTGAAATGGATATATTTGTATTCACATAGTAGCAGTGTAACATCTCGCTATATATATGTATCTGATATGTAACATCTGTCCCTATGCTAATAAAAAATAAATAAATTTATCAGTAAGTGAGTGAGTGAGTTAATATTTAACGTCACATCGGCAATATTTCAGCCA